GCGCGGCGGTGCGCGGCACTCTCCTTGGCTGTTGGAGGTGATAGGGGTCGGGAGGAGGGAAGTGGACGCTGGCCTCGGTGCTGCTTCCGCGGTCTCCGTAACAAGCCCCTTCCCCGCGGGGCGAGCGAGGAGGAGATAAGTTACGGATCAAACACCCGTTTAGGGTAGGAGGCACGCCCGCGGTCAGCGGAGGAGTTGCCTCGGTCCTCAGAGGGCCGGCCCCGGCGTGGGCGGACCCGGGGCGGGGGAAGGGAAGTGAGAGGTTGTTTATGACCAGGGACTGATCTCCGAGCGGCGCGCCGCTCCCGCTGGGCCGTGAGGACCGAGCTGTCTCCCTGGGCCTTGGAATGGACCCGGGACAGGCCAGGAACCCTCTCGTCTGACGACCCAACTAAAAGGGAACAAGCCACTTGTTTCTAACTCAGCACTTAAAGGTCGTGGCGGAAGGCTTATTCACAGTTTGTTGCCCTTGTTAGTCTCAGGGAGAAAAACCGGTACTACTCAAAGAAATACCTCTCCCAAACCATGTTTACTGCGTACAGTGCTAGATTCAGACCTAAAAGGGACCTTGGCAAATCATAATCCGTTACTCTTATTTTTAAGTGAAAAAAACTGGCCAGCTTGCTCGAGTGACGCAGGGAATGGGCTCCCTCGCACCCTGCCTGTCTCTCTCACTAGATATTATCTCAGAATTGTCCCGTCCTGATGAGGGGACAAGTTCTAGGTTAGACCAGCACCTGCCGCGATGCCGGAAATAATGAAACCTCCTGAGGATCCGGGGAAACAGCTTCCTCGGATTCACTAGTTAAAATACTGAAGACTGCCTGAAATACAAGTTGAATTAGAGATATAACCCTGATCATGTACTAGCCTTGTATTTTGATTTTTTTACTCTTTACCCTAAAATTTATTGTTTACCTACTGATCATTTTTTAAGAATTGTTCCTATTGACATTAACACAGAAGAGACATGCTTTGTGACACTTTGTTTAAATCTTGAGTTTCACAGCTTGGATTTTTTCTAATTAAGTCAATCTCTGATCTTTTTGCTGTAATAGGGCTATTTCAGTAATATGTTGTATGTACCATAGAAGAGTGAGATTTTTTTTTTTTTGGACTACAAAATAAGATGAAATACAGGTTTTACAGTATTTGCTGAGGACTGGTGGAGTTAAAAATGATTAAAATATGCTACCTGCCTTCGAAGAGCTTAAGGTTTTTCTAGAACAATATTACATACATATTATTAGCTACTACAAGGCAGAAAGTGATTAGATAGTAAACTCAGAAAATTCTGAGAAAAATGTATTACCCTGCAGTGATGAAAAAACATTTTCCAGGGTCAATACATTTAAGCTGTGCCTTAAAGCAGTGTTTCTAAAACTAGGATCCTAGACCTGGAGCTAAGAATGAGAGTTGTTGTTTTTTTAATAATCACCAGAGGATATTTTTCCATTGATTTTTTGACAGAATGGGGGTTGGGGGTGGGGTAGGGGAAGAGAGAGAAACATTGATGTAAGAGAGACACATCAATTGGTTGCCTCCAACATGTGCCCCAACCCGGCTGGAGAACCTGCAACGTATGTAGGTGCCCTTGACCAGGAATCCAAACCAGTCCCTTCAGTCCACAGGCCGATGCTTTAACCACTGAGCCAAACCAGCCAGGACAAGCGTTCTTGAATGCTTTAAAATTTTTTCTTTTTGTTTAAACAACATGCAAATTGTTTTTCCTAGTTCTAAAGACAGAATTATTCTTTCAAAGTGATACTTTGCAACTGAAAAATTTTAATGGAATTGGTCTTCAGTTTTCCACATTCGTCCTTTTCAAACTGGTCTATGGACCCCACCCTGCCTGTTAAAAAATGTATTCTGTAGAATCATAGTAATTTCTTTTATATTACTCAGGTTTGGGAAATACTGCTTTAAAGGACTGGTAGGATTTGGATATGGTGGGTATATCCAAATCCTACCAATGGGTAGAGGAAGAGGAAGCTGCTGGTGAAAAAGTCCGAGACATTGAAAATGTAGTGAAGAAAGGAAGTTAGCACACCATTGCCAATGGCTTTCTGGGGAACAGTGAAGTTCAGCTAGGCTGGACCACCAGCGACACAAGGAATAGCATAAGATCCAGAAATGTAGGTCATATCTAGAGAGTAGAGGGCCTTTATTCCAGGCTAAGGACTTTTTCCATATAAGAATTTTTGGTTGGGGTGCTTTTTACAAAGCAGTGTTTGAAGGGCATCAAACTAGACTACTGAAGTAGATGAGCATGCATTACTAATGACCTTACCTATTTCAATTATTTGAAATCATTTTGGAGCCATCATGGCTCTTCCCTCATAACTGGAAGTGTATGGTGGAGCCAGAATTAGATACAAAGATCAGGAGAGCCAAGTCCAATGAGCCAACCTGGCGCATATAACCAGAACCTATGCTTATGATGGCACCTGAGATCAAAGGCCAGGTTTCCCGTTCAGAAGCCCAGAGGTGCTGGAAGGCAAGGCCCTGAGACAGCACAGGAAAGAAGTCAGGACACACATAGGCAGCAAATCAAGAGGCAATCAGGAACCAGGAAGCATTGAGTTATCCCTAGGCAAAATTGTGAAATAGGCCCAGTTGATTCTGGTTGACAAACTTGGTCAACGGTGGCTTAAAGCCTTGGTTCTGGGCCAGGAGGTACTCATCAGCATTACCTATAGAACTTAAAAAAATAATAATAAATGTACTAAATCTCCATACCCAAAGAAAACTAATTCAGTAGAATTGGTTGGGCCCTGGCCATCTCATTTTTTAAAAAGCTCTTCAGGTGATTAAGAACTATATACTTAAAGTATAAAAATAATGTATTTGTCTAGCACTTAATATTACCCTTAGAGTTATTACATTTCTTAAACTCCTAAAATCTGCAAACTAAAGGGGAAAAAACTATAAATGTGACACCAACATAGCTAACAGTGGATTTGCATCACATACTAGTACTTAAGTAAATTACTTGAATTCAACTACGTTTGACAAAAAAGAAAAAGAAAACTAGTGCTGGATATTCCCACTGTACCCCTTGGTGAGCTTATGCCTTAAAGCACAGGAAGGGAAACATGAATCTCTTCTTCACTCAATATCTGTGCTTCTAGAAAGATTCTGGTTATGTGCTGGCTTCTTTTTGTAAAACATGGCCTCTAAATGCAAGCCGAGTATTTCATTAAACTCAACTGAAGAAACAGTGAGCTCTTGCAATGCTAGGGAGAACTAGTTGGAATAGTGTGTGCTAAATCCTGTGCTGTTGCAGTCTAGGGGATTAGGGAAGATTTTTCTGGGAGGGCATTGGTCAAAAAAAGGTAAGTGGGGAAAAACTTGCTCTTTGCTGCTATTTTTAAAGGAGTGCTGTCCAAACGCTCCAATTTTAAAGGGAATGAATAAATTCTATGAAACCTGAAAGAATGGTGACTAAATTGTTGAAATGGAGCTATTCTAACCAAATTAAAAGCGGATGAACTAGATTCATTTGTAGAAGCTAAGCAGAAACCCTTTTAAATTATTTTAAACCAATTAAGCAGGTAACACAGTTTTTAAGTAATTATGTGCAATAACTTGGCTTATGGTATCTAAATATGCCATCTCAACAAAAAAATCAGAGAAAGCTAGTGTTCCTCATATGTAGCCTAACAAATATTCTTGTGGCTGTCTTACCATTTCCTTAGCTCTCTGCATTCTTCTTTAAGATTATAATAGTCAATGATATAGAGAGGTTGAGAATATTTTTTAAAAGTAATAGGCATAAAAAATTAGATGTGAAACTGCAACAGAAGGTATTCAGATAATACAAGTATAAGAAAATTTATTTTGGTCATCCTAATATATAACTAGAAGCCCAGCGCGCAAAATCGCACAGCCCCACCCATTTGCTCCTGCCGTCGCCCTCGCAGCCCCGCCCACCCATGCCGGTCTTTGGTCGTTATGGTATTAGGGCCACAGGCCTTTTATAATATAGATAATATAGATATCAATTCTCAGGGTGGGGAATATGCTAGTGGAGAGTACTATTAAAAAGAAATTAGACCTTTCCAAAGAGCAGTATTTCAAAGTAATAATTGAAGTCTGAGATAATTCAAGATCAGTCCTGAAAATGGAGATATCCAAAATGAGAATTAGAATCACAGTGGAACAGTTTCTCTAACAAAAGAGCATGAAAATTACAGTAATTTTTAAATTAATATTAATTGCACACCTCCTATATAATAGGCACTGTGGTAGGCCAAAGAGAGTTTATAATCTATGGAAAGACAGAAGGCAGATAAACAGATAATGAGAATATTATGACAAGTCAGCAGACCCCTAACATGATATAATAAAGACCTGTCTCAGACGTTTGTTTTCAAAATGCAAGGTAACATACCATGTTTCTTTTCTTTTTTCTAAATATATTTTATTGATTTATGAGAGGAAGGGAGAGGGAGAGAGAGATAGAAACATCAGTGATGAGAGAGAATCATTGACCGGCTGCCTCCTACATGCCCCCAACTAAGGATCGAGCCCACAACCCGGGCATGTGCCCTTGACCGGAATCGAACCAGGAACCCTTCATTCCACAGGCCGATGCTCTATCCACTGAGCCAAACTGGCTAGGACAGGGGTGGGCAAACTTTTTGACTCGAGGGCCACAATGGGTTCTTAAACTGGAC